TTTGTGAGTGGTGGAGATCGCAGATTAATTATCGGCTTGGTAGGTTAGGAATTAGGAGATCAGTTTAGCGATCGCAAGAACAGCCTTTATCTGAGCCTACCCGTGGCCATTTTGGCATGAGCCGATCGGCCGTGCCCAAAAAGAACCCACCCACTCCGCCCTTTGTTCTTTTCGTGAATATGGGGGATCCCCTTCGCCAAGCTCAAGATCGGGTCGGCTTGCACGCGCTCGCCTATGGAACCCACGACGAGCTCTGTCGGCCTTGTGTTGACTGCGGGCTCTACACAGGCTGTTTTTGTGATGGCGAAGGCGATGGTCAGGAGTGCTATGCAGTCGATCGTGTCCCCAGCGAGCGCTGGGCTCCCAACCAGCTCACGCCGCTGTGCACGACCTGCGATCGTCGGCACGATATGTGCCATTTCTGTCGACGGATCCCTTGGGTCACGCCGCCTGCTCATCGTGACCGCGATCGTCATCAGCCGGCGTCTGCTCACGCGCCGCCAGCTGGGGCTGATCCACCCCGAGCTTTCGACGGTCCGGTCTATTACGTGGCTCCTAAAGCGGGTCCGCCTCATCAGGGCCGGCTCCTGGGTGCCGGGGCAGATCAACGCCCGGCCCCTGCGGGTCCGTTTTACTTTGTGGCGCCGGGACAAGCTCCCCGGCGTTTGGATGAGCTCTCGCCGAGTGCTGAGCTCCCAGAAGGCACTTAAATCATTGTGCCGCAGACCCAAAGTCGTCCTGCGCCTGTTCCAAAAGCCCCGCAGGTCGAAGCGATCTTTCCCGATTTCCACGCGGGCTATCGCCATGCAAAGGCGAAGGCGGCTCCGAATCCTGCGCCGCTCGATGTCGATCCCATCGAGGAACCTTCGCCTTCGGACAACGATCCGATCGAAAACTTTTAGTTTTGCTCGCTGGGAATATCGCTCATCTGATGTGTTCGTTCGGATTGATGTTGCGATCTTTGGCAATGCCAATGCGCACACCCGGCGATCGGGGTTCCGTTCGGACTGGTGAAGATCGAGTGAAGTTTTGATCCGATCGATAGTGCGACCAAATCCCACGTTGCGGTCGCAGAAAAGAAGTTGTGCGATCGCTTCGCTGGCTGTTCAGCGAACTTTGTGAGTG